AAAAAAAAAAAAAAAAAGGAAAGTAAAAGAAAAAGAAAAAGCTCGTCATTTGTGATGTTCTTTGAGACATAGAAACTTCACCAAAAAAAAATGTAACCTTGTTTTTCATTTTCAATTTTAATTATAATATATTTATTGTTTATATTATATATTATTACTTAGATATCTCATTTAATATGTAATTATATAATATGATTTACGATTTATATGTTTGCTTTTAATTTGTAATGATAATGCGTTCGCTAACTTGGCTTTTAATTTTTGGAAACATATTGTGCAATAAATTGCTATAATTCTCTTCGTTTTTTTTTTGAATTGTGTAATAATTTTTGTAAATGGAATCCACTTTTTTTTGTACTTTTTTTTTTTTTTAATGGAATCCACATTGATGATGAGTCGCACAATGATTCATTTTTTTCTTAGGGAAAACTCCGTGGGTGTCGCAAAAATGAGTTATAATTGCACTATCGTAATGGGCCAAGATACAGTTTGCAATTGCACTTTGCGCAATGCATACAACCCACCTTTCTGCCCAGGTGCAGGGTGCCCCAAGTGCAATTGCAAACTGTATCTTGGCCCATTATGATAGTGCAATTATAACTCATTTTTGTGACCCTACTGAAGTTACCCCGTTTTTCTTAATATGTTCTCCTTTAGGGTGTTTTTTTTTTTTTTTGAATGGGTGTAAATTCGGCAGTCGCGTTCGCGTTTGCGACTGTTTGTTCCGTTTTAGGAAAGAAGGCAGCGACGGGCCGCAGCTGCAGCAGAACCGACATGCAACGAACCCGCATATGCTATTTTTGGCAATTAGACAAATCTTTAAGTAGTGGGGGAGCGATTGAAGTCCATCCCGCGGCCGACGGGGATCGTCATCCTGTGGAGGGCGGGCGGGGGGGGGCGCGAGTAGGGGGGACAGCAGGGGGCAAGTCCCACTAGCATTGTTGAGCTACCTCAACGCCTGAATCTGGATGCTTTTGCGGAGGTGTGCAGAAATGGTGTTGAGTTTCCTGAACTGCGTAAAGAAAAAAAAAAATCTGTGTATATATGTATATGTAGTTATATCGTCAAACAGAACTGCCCTGTGAACCGTTGGCAGAGAGGGAGGGAGAAGACGACAACAGACGAGCGGCTGTCGCAAACTCTTTCGTCGGCGTTTCATCGACTCACATCTATATATTTGTGACGATATATATGTAGATAGATATATGTAGATAGATATATATATCTGTTTGACGATATATGATGTATATATGTATATGCATAAAATATATTATAGAATAAAAATAAATATTTGACGATATGTCCTGATGAGTCGGTGAAACTCCGACGAAACAGTTTGCCACAGCCCCTCCCTCGTTTGTTGTCCTCTTCTCCCTTTCTCCCTCGCTGTTTGACGATATATACATATACATATATATCAAACTTCTCTCTCTGTATCGTTCCTGGACCAATGATAACGGATGTCCGACGTAACTGAATTGTATTTAGACGAATTAAGAATAGATCTTGGCTATACCATCCGGGCCGCCCGGGTCACCTTGTTTTCCCAAACGGCCCGGCCGTGCAAGGACCAGGGAAACTCCCAGCAAAACAAAACAAAAAAATCAAAACTATAGGGGTAAAAAACAAATGTTATGCAGATAAATTACCTGAACAACTTTTGCCTCAGGATCGCATCGAAGTTCTTTACGCTTTTTTTTTTTTTTTTTTTTTTTTTTTTTTTTTTTT